GCACCTGAGTACCGCCATCACCCGGCAGAGTGTTGTACCAGAGAGACTGGTGAGGTCCAGACATGGACTTCTGGTCATGGTCTCCGTGACCGTAGACGGTTGCCGTGAGGGCAAGGGCGAGAAGAGTCCGGGAAATCATGTTGCTGACGGTCGATTGGCGCGAATCTTTGTCAATGGCTACGGAAATCTAAGCAAAATTTCGTGCGGGCGAAGACTGAGCTTTTAAAACAGAACTCTCGGGTAGCTGCAAGGTCCGAGAGATTCTGGAAAAGATTGGCCGTCGAGCTCGACAGCTCTTCTCCACGCATGGAGGCCCAGTGCAGCATTACGCAGGGACTGGGACCAGCTCCCAGGCTTATCGTCTACGGATTGGCCACAACGACAGAAGGTCCCTGAGACGGGACTGGTCAATGGACATCTTCAGATGCATCTCCATGCAAACGTATTGACGTGTTCATGTTAGGTAAAGGCGAACCCATGGAAGAGATGCCGGGCTAGATGCGGGGCAGAGATAAAGCTCCCTCCTTCATGAGGGTCATGATGCTTGCAAGATCAGCGCAGATGCTTGGTTCAAGCTTTCCATTGGGTTTGCAAAGTCAATTCTGCACTCCGGACGGAGACCCCAGGCCAAACACTCGCTTGAGCTCATGGCAGGGTTGTGCCGACCAAGGAGGGCCGGCGGCGAGGTTCTAGCTTGAGAGGATAGAGGACGTCCCGACGGTCTGTGGACGATCTGGACGCTCTGAATGGTATGAGTAAGGCGGGGTCGCTCTGGAGTGTTGTCGGTGTTATGATGCAAACTATGATAGAGATAAGCCGGAATGGGCTCCAGAGATGCATGTTCTGCAGGGCCGCCGGTTGGGTGTTGGAGAGAGCCATGGAGTCGTTACAGCACAACCTTAGCTCCGGGGGGGAACGCCCGTCACATCGGTAGAGCCAGGCATGAAGCAGCCAATGAAGATGGCTTCGAAGTGTTCATGAGTCGTTGAATGTGCAAAGAACCGTCTGTTTGGCGTCCTTGTTGAAGGAGATGCATTGTCGAAGGCTCCTCAGGCTTGGAGGTCCTGTCGATGACGTGGGGCGTCACCCACGCGGGGCTGATAAGATAAAGCTACGCCACGCTAGCACATGCAAGCTGTGCTGAGCGCTTACCCGAATAGGGAAACGGGGAGCAACCGTCACTTTGGGGCCGTCTGCTCTATCCCGTGCGGTCGGCGACAGTTCGCCGTGATAAACATGAAGAATTCGGCAGTGGCCAAGAACCGGAGCCGTAGAGTAGATAAAACTGTCGCCGGCCCCAGGGATCCTGTAACTAGGCCCTCTCTTCAACAGCCGTATGTCCTTACTCTTCACGTCGCTCGTGTGTACTGGCTACGGCCATGGCCATTGGTCGGCTCGCCGAAGTCGCAGCAGCTCTCTACCACCACTCGAAACCTCCGACCCCGACACGGCAACCACCTAGCAAAGTTGAGCAGGCTCTTCTTTTTGGCTTGTGAAGACAGATTTCCGCCCGGTCTGGTAGCTCAAGAAAGGAAATTTACTGGGCTCCTGCGGACCGAAGGGGCCGAGCTTCACGGGAGCTTGGGCGCCCGGACCCGCGGGTGCTCCGCTCCGGAGGCTTTTACGGGCTGAAACCAGACGTTCCGGCCGGCTGAGTGGACACTGAAAACCCGCAGAGACACATGGAATTAAGCTGACAAGCTTGACTCGAGAAGCTCGTTGCGCAGCGAGCAATGCAAAAGTTTCGAGTAAAACCTTGACGCAGGGTCGAAGCAAGACCTGAATCGGCGGGTTCGTGGCAGCGCCGGGCAAGCTCTTTATTGGCGACCGGGACAAATCCCGTGTTCCGATGAGGTGTTGATTTGGTGCATGGCAGGGGCGCCGGCAGATCCGTCTCGCCTCGTATGCTCTTGTGCAGCCACTGCAGTGGTCCTGTTTCTGAATCTGCGGGTGGTTTCATGCAGGAAGCCAAAGAAGAGCGCTGATTGCTTCGCCCTTTGCAGGGCTCGTAGGCAGTTCTCATCTGTCTCGGAGCAATTTACAATTTATCGGACGCCAGTTGTGGGCGAGGGAGGGAGAGGGAGAGAGGACGCGGGTCGAGGCAGGGCCGAGTGACACTTCGCTTCCTCCTCGCTCCTTATACGTGGCTCCGACACTGGTAGCATTTCTGTGTGCATCGGTGTCGTGTGCTGCGACGACGAAAGCTGGTGGTAACAGACTGCACCGAAGGTACTTTGAGGTAAGGTAAGGTTAGGTAGGGCGCGTGGCCAGACCAGTCGGAGAGGGGCATGTGTGAAGGATGGAGATCAAAGACATGAAGACGGCCCTCTCCGCCGGCCGGTCCAACCGGAGCAGAGCAGGGTGAGAGAAAGAGAGGGAGGAAGAGAAAGAGGAGGATTGGGGGGGAGACAGAGAGACGGGCGAGGGAGGAGCCGGGTTGGGTTGGGTTGGGGGAGAAAAGAAGCTGGTTCTGCGGCAGAGGGGTCAAAAGTTGGCAGTCAGTTGGCACGACTTTGCAGGAGAAGGAAACTACAGCTGCAGGACGATGCAACCACTAACGGGACGCAGCCTATGACAGCACGGCGTGGGCCTGGAGCCGCTGGAAGAACGAGCAACGGCCCCGCTTTGCCCGGCGTCCTTCAGCGCTCGCAGCGCATTCCCATCACGCTACGACGCGGTCGAGTGGTGTTGCCGTTCCTCATTCGGCCCCCCTGGCGGAGCTACTGCTGCTTGCTACACGTATCTTCCTTGTAAGGACTGCAGAGGGAGTTAACAGGAGATGCGAGGGCAAAAAATAATTGTGCGGTGCGCAGGTGGACGAAACGAAGGCGCCTGGTTGGCACTTATTGAGAGGCAAGGTATCCGGACGTAGGAATGGAAGGGACCTTGGCTTGCAACGGGCGATGCTAGATGGACCCTTTGATCGGACATTCGTTCCCTGCCACCCTCTTTTTTTTTTTCTTGCTTCCACTTTTTGTGCTTTTTTCTTGCAGTTCGGGGCTGCTCTTACATACGCCGAGTCGAGGCTTGGCCCGGGCTTGGAAGTCCCAGATCCACTGTTCTCTGAGGTGAGTGACGCTTGCTGGAAATGCGCAGCAGGTCACCTGGCAAGTCCACTTGCTGTTTGCCAGTCATGTTGGGCATCTTTCTTTGGTATGCTATCCTTGGCCGGGTCGTATGGAACACCGTGAGGAGGACAGAATGCCCCACGCTCCCACGCACTTTTAGAATCGAGACAGGAAGGAGAAAGGGAAGAGGTATCTTGACAGCTCTGGACGTAGGGAAACACCCAGCAAGACGGTCGTGACCTCACCTTGTTGCGTCCCGCTAGCCTGGATGTGCTCTGTACGGTCTACCAATGAGGCACCGCTAACCTGCTGCTGCTGAATGTTCGTACCCGGACTTGTCCTTGTACTAAGGTAGGTAGGTGTACCTTACCCTCATCACCACCAGCTCTGCCCACCGCAGGTAAGGTAACTTGCACCAACCCAGGTCCAAGACCTGCCGCATTCTCTGCTGCTACTGCTGCCCACCTTTGACCACCTCAGACAGGACAGACCTAAGAAAGAGCACTTCTTTTTTCTGCGTCAGACCCTTTCCCGTTCTGCCAATCATCCTTCCCGTCATTCTTTTTTCCAACTGTTCGTCCGCCTCCATCGTCTCAACCTACTGAAGCCGTGTGCTGCACCAAAATAGCGCCAGAGTCCGTCCGCATCGTCGAGGCCCTGGATTTGCTTCCGCTCCTGCTGCTGCTGCTGCTACTGCTGCTCCTTTTCCTTGCCTCGACTAGCACGCGCTGCTTCTCAGCTTTAATCTCACCTTTCATCCCGTCTCGTTCCTCTCCTTACGTCGGTCTGTGCGAACAAACAACCCGATCGAATCGATTCGCATCGCGCTCCTTCATTCGGCTCACGCAGCAGCGACTGTTCATCCGCACTTCTCAGAACAGACCCTGCGCCTGTATCGTGACCGACCAACTGACACCACTTTTCGTTCCCCTCGGACTTCGTCTCCTCTTCCTCTTCTTCTTCAACCACCGCTGTGTCCGTCTTATCCTCTCGCTGGATTGAACCACTGTCGGGCTCGTGTTCCGTCTCATTGTGTCGGCAATCGTCCTTCACTGCTACGACCTCTTCCCGGGGGTGCGGCGTTGGACCAGACCCTGACGCGATTCGCCAACGAAGTCGTTCTGTTTCAATGTCTCACACGTACCCTTGAGACTTTCGCCTCACCCCGACATCCCTCCCCACCACGCAGTACGCACTGCGACCTTCGTACTTTACCCGCCGCCTCGCTCTCCAACTTCTTGTTTGCAACCACTGCCACACCCTCGCGCGTCGCAATCACCTTCGCCTACCTATGAACTTGCCTCTACCCAGCATGCAAATGACCTTCGTCCGCTCAAAGCCTCGCACCGCATCATAACCTGCGACGGGTTAATGTGTGTGCATTTGGCATGCATCGCCGGCCTGCAGACCGCAACACACCGATAGACGCTTGCGAAAATGACAGCCGCTGCTAATTCAAAATCATCAACCATGGCAGCGCGACCTGCAAACTACGCCTACGGCTCGCCAAATGGCACCTTGGCAGGACAGATAATGTTCAAAAAACACAAAGTGCTTCCGCATCCAAGAAAGCAACCCAGCGAAACCCAATCATACGAAGCCCAGTCGACTCCCAGAAGATACGGTTCCCTCACAGACAGCCCCGTGTCGCAAGCAGATGCGTCGCAACGCTCCGCTTCCCAAACCTTGAGGCATCAGTCGAGGCGGATAGGAAGCGGTCCGGATCTACCTCCGACGCCTCCTTCCCACTCGCGTACCTCGTCAAGCACTCACTCGATCCCGCCTCCGAGCCCGTCTCCCGAAAATGTGTCGCAAACGCCAACCATTTCAGCGCGTGCGCCTGCGACTCCTCCAAACCAGAAGAGCCCGCCCACTCCAGACGTAACACCTCCCCAGCCTGTGACACGACCCAAGGCTGTACGACCGATTCCGATGGATCGCACAGTCTCTAAAGCGACAACAGCGACTGCTGAGTCTCGGGCCGAGTCGTTTCGAACAGCCAGAGAGGAGCCGTATTCTTCGGAGGAAGACGACTTGCAGTCGACCGTGAGACCCAATGCTTTGTCGGCAAGAACATCATCTCAAAATACCGTCCGGCATACGTCTGAACCCCAAACGAAACCGCCGGCTCCAGTCGGCCTTGGCCTGGGTCTGGAGTCACCTCAGGAGGAGGAGCTTCCAACGCCTAAGGCGAGGGGCGACTTTGGCACTTTTGATGGAGAGTGGGCCTCGAACAGCGAAGTTGAACAGGAATGGGACGATAATCTTGGAAGAAACGTTACGGTAAGAAAACGGCGCCAGACACCCGAAAAGGCATCGGATAAGGAATCTATGATCGCGTCACGCTACGAACCGCGTCGTGAAAAGCGCAAGGTCGAGATTTTTGAGGATCGCGTCGTAACTCCGACAAACGCTACAAGGGCAGTTCGAGCCATGTCTCGCGGTGACAGAGCTACGTTTTATGCGCCTAGTGAAATTGCCTGGTCAAGAACACCAACCACCGAAGCTTCTGTCAACGCAGATTCCCGCAGGTTTTCAGGCATGTCCGCCAAGTCGACAAAATCGAATGCATCAACGGTGGTGGAAGCAATCTTGGTAGATGCTCCTGCCATCCCCCATAGGCGGCAGACCCTGAGGCATGTGCGAAAGCAAGTGGGACTACGAGATTCTGGATCAGACCTGTCTCCTCTGAGTTCTGCGGCGAACTCATCTGTGCAGATTGAAGAATCGCCGAGACGCCCCAGACCTTTGGCTCGTCCCACCGACGCTCGAAACAACAGCTATGCATCGAACACGACTTTCAACTCGATATCGAGCGGCAGGGCGCGCAAGGAAATCTGGAAGAGCGGTGCTATCCCAGTTGTCGTTGTGCCGGATCGACGATCGTCTGTTAAGTCCAAGTCGAGCAGAACACCGTCACTTCGGTCAACCAGCAGTCGCCGGTCCAAGCGAAGCGCCAGTCTGAGCTCAGCAACTCGCGCTAACGGGTCGCGAACAACTACCGACTTGCCGACGCCCATCTTTGACCGACCCGGCCGGCGAAGCCGGACCTTGTCGGAGTCTGACGGGTCGGACCAACGTACGATCGACTACCCTCCAGTCATTCCCAAGCGTTCTTCCTCCTTGTCGGCCCCAACAAGCCGCAATACCTCCCGCGCAGGCTCGCTCACCGCAGAGAGTTTAAAGGCTCAGAGCGCTTTGCTCAATCAGCAATCTGGACATGAAACAAGAGCACCCGCCCTGACCCTTCAGAGGGCTCAGTCTTCAGAGACAGACAACGGCCACCATCATCGGGACCACAAGCACAATGTCGACCACCATGGAGACCCCTTCTTTGGAAAGCGGCTGGACGCACACAACACACCTTTCTCCGCAACCTCAGTAGAGACCAACGGTACTGCCCCTGAGGTATCAGAAGCAAAGGCTGTGAGCCTCTATCCCCACCAAAACTCATCTGTCCTCGTTGTCAATCATTCCAACAAGCCTTCGGAGAGCTCAAGCACTGAGTCGTCTCAGACGGATTCGGAATTCTTGAGACCGCCTCAACGACCGACAATCACCACCACTGGCCCAGACGGCGAGGAGGGCTTCATGACTCCTCCGCAGCAGCGTTCCGTGGATGACGTGGATTCTCCGTTGCGCAATCCGCGCGCCGCTCCACCGGTACCTCCATTCATTCCGCCGGCGATCCAGTTCATTCCTGCTACTCCCTCGGGTCTTACGCCTCATCACGAGAGACAGCGAAATATGGGCAACTACTTTGAGACCATGGTCGAAGAAGAGCCTCATCGGACCGGATCGATTGTGCGACGGGCGTTGACGCGAAGACGGAATTCGGAGACGTATCCACCAAAGAGCGCCAGACCTAGCCTTCTCACCCGAACCTTGTCCCTGACTAGGAGAGGATCTCTTTCTAGGTCGTCACATAAGGACGAGTCCTCTGTGGAAGTACCATGCTCATGTCCGGAGTGCGAAGGACCTCCGCCTGAGGATGGTCGTCTCCATCCTCATTGGCGTCCGGCCTACTCCGACCCGGAGGATGACGTGTGGGAAAGAGAAATGGAAGACGAGCCCGTCAGTCAGGTTTACCGGTACCCTCCGATTGACAACCGTCCCCGGCCTCCTCGCAGAAGGATCAGCGAGCGCGTGAGGAAGACTTTCGCAATTCTGCCTAACCGTGATGAGGGCCTTTCCTACTCTCCCCCTAGTCCGAATGAGCCGGAGCGCCGCACGATTCGCCGAACAGACAGCGGCAACCTGCGGGTTATGAGACGCAGGAGCAGCTTAGACTCTCTTCGCGACCAGTCGGACGACCCGCCGCCATACGACAGTCAGGATGGCGATGGCCGAAGCGGGACAAGGGGCGAGGCAGGACCGAAAAGGAGACGACGCTTCTCACTCTCGGGCACGCTGGAAGGGCTGCAAAACATTCCGCGCCAACTGAACGAGCGTAAGCGCGAAAAGAGAACGCAGGAACTGCGACAGAAAATCAGTGGCCCACGCGAAGTGCGAGACGGTGTAGGTGAGGTGATACGGCGCAACACCTACCGCGAGATGCACCAACAAAGGCACTCGCCGTCGACCAACTTTTGATCTGCCAAATGATCAACACCAGCCACCAAGCACTTTGCTTGGGGCACTTATACATAATATTATCAGGAAGGAATACCAAGGAGGGGCAGAAGGACATCATGACCGCTACGAACGATATCATTACGACTACAGGAACTTTTATGACCAAGGACGATACTCTTCACGAATCACGTGGTAGATATTTTCTTTTTCGGGAACGGTGTTGACTTTGGGAGCTCGGAACGTCTATGATGATTTGGCTGGGATGGGTGTTCCGAGAACGATGAAACCACCATTGCTGCTGTATCATATAGAAATTGCCCAAGAAGATACCATTTTGCAAGGGCGATGAACCCTTTGGCGCTCTAGTACAAACGTTCCTCTTTCGCGATGATGAATCTGATGTGATTGGTATGAATAGTCATCTACCGTGCCGTGCCATGAAGTTTTGCCCCTAAATATGTGACGCCTGAACACCATCCTCTACCCAAGAACAAACAAGCCTATCTACGAGGAAATGATGGCCTTGCGATCATCTCTTTTCCTGGCCCGGGGGTGCGCTACCAGGAGGGAACGCGCCTGGAGGTGCTCCAGGGAAGCCGCCGGCACCTGGTGGCGGCATGCCGGGGAACTGGAAGTTGGGCGGGGGCAGAGAGCCCGGTGCGCCGGGAGGCGGGAAAGGAAGTCCTCCCGGGGGAGGGAACGGCAAGCCGCCGGGGGGCATCGCTCCATTGGGACCGCCGGGGAAGGGGGGCATGGGCGGCATTCCGCGACCACCTGGACCGGGAGCTGTTGTCGCAAGCATGTCAGACGCGTGTTGTCGACGATGGCAATCGTAGTGGGAGAGGCGGGACTTACGAGGAATCATTCCCTGAGGGAATGGGGGCGCGCCGGCGGGCATGCCGGGGAAGGGCGGCGGTACACCTCCAGGGAAGGGGAAGGGCGGCGGGAAGGCCTGGCCCGGCTGGTTCTGCGGCAGCATAGGGTTGTTGTGCGCTTGGCCTTCGGCGGCGTAGGACGAGGTGATGGAGTCGATGACGGACTGTGCCTTTTCATGGCCGATTTCTGGAAGAAGAAAACTCCTGTGTTAGTCCTTTGCTCCAAGTATCGCGAGGCCGTAGATTTGGGAGGAGGGCGGGAAACGTACGTTGGTAGTAGTCGACGACGTTGCGGAGGTGGTTTCGACCGCTGTTGTGCGCCTTTCGCACGCTCATGGAGTCGTGCGTCAGGTAGACGTCGCAGTAATCGCCTAGGCAATCTCGTTAGTCGATGTCGGAAGATTCGTGCGATCGCGAGCTGTTGCTTGAACATCGGGTGGACCTTACAGAAGACTGCGAACCTGTTAGCTTTGGTTCTGACGCGCGACGGGATGAGAGGTGATGGAGAGCTTACACTTGGGCATCTTTGCGGTTGGATGTGTTCCGAAACGAAGGACTCGACGGTGGTTGATGCGGACGGAACAAAAGTATTGTTCCTCGAGACGAGCGCGCGTATCGTCGCATTCAATGGCGGGCGGGCTGGAGAAAGGAATACAGGCCCCAGGTAAATGCGGCGCGCCTCAGAGCGCCACACCAGCTTTGCTTGCTTGCCAGTACAGAAAAAAAGCTGCGAGGCTGGCCAATCATTCGGAGCTGCCAAGTGCACAAGGCTGCCCCTCTTCTCGGCGGTGATTGGCCGTGCGATTAACCTATCCCCATGGACAGGGGTATCTGAGTGGCCCAGGCTCTCGAACGCGACAGATTGCCAAAAAATCCCCAAAGGGTGTGTGCATGGTTCCTTGGTACCACTTGTCATGGGCCTAGCTTCTCCTATCGCCAGCGTTGTCCACTACCTCAACCTCAGGGAGCTCTCACCACCATCTTGACAACCTCCCACCGCTCGACCTCCCCCCTCCCCCTCCCGGGAACCGCAAACGAAACCCACCGATCCGAGTCGTTCGTCCCTTTCTTCGTACAGATTGCACACATACAACGATGGCGGCCACGAGATCATTGCTGCGCTACGTGTGCGGCCTCGTCCTGCTCGCATGCTGCGCCCAGGCGCTGCGCTTCGACCTGCACGCCACGGGCTCCCACGAGGGCAAGAAGGAGCGATGCATCCGTAACTTCGTCGCGAGAGATACGCTGGTCGTCGTCACGGCGACTGTCGACGGCCACAAGGGTGACGGCATGGTCGTGAACATGCACGTACGTGGTCTCAAGGATGAAGAGGGCCCCTCTCTCGACTGGGGGTGCTGGTTCAATTGGATCGGCGCTCAAGGAGGGAGAAAGGAGGAACCCCTCTTGAAGCTCATTTGGTAGCATAGAGAAAAGCTGACATGCGGTTCGTGTGATTACAGATCAGAGATGCTGTTGGCAACGACTACGGAAAGCCCAAGGATATTGCAGGCGGCGAGAAGCGCGTTGTCTTCACCTCCCACGCTGACGCTGCCTTTGACGTCTGCTTCGAGAACCTCCTGACTGGATGTACGTGGAACCCCCCTACACCGTCCTATCGACCCAGCCATCCCCATTGCTCCCCCGCTGCTACATGAAGGGAACTGAAGCTGATCCCTCCCACAACAGCCGGCCGCAGTGGCTCCACGAGCCGCCACATCGAGCTCGACATCGACATCGGCGCCGACGCAAAGGACTGGAACGCGATCCAGGCGACGGAGAAGCTCAAGCCCGTCGAGGCGGAGCTGAGGCGCATCGACGAGCTCGTCAGCGAGATCAACACCGAGATGGACTACCTGCGCGCGCGCGAGCACAAGCTGCGCGACACCAACGAGAGCACAAACACCCGCGTCAAGTGGTTCGGCATCGGCACCACCATGATCCTCGTCGGCCTCTGGGGCTGGCAGATCATGTACCTAAGGGCGTACTTCAGGTCCAAGCATCTCATCTAGAAACAGATCGCGCCATTCCTTGTTTGTGGGCGACGCAGGCAGGGCTGTTTGTCTGTGGGCTTGCCTAAAGAACAAAAAACAAATTACGAAGTTTACAGAAGAATATCCGGGTTTTTGCCGCGGGTGGATGGTGATGATGGAGTCAAATGCGATGCAACGGGACGGGCATCAACTCACCTCGAGGGTTTCCGAGAGTGTTGTAGTGTATACATACCATGTTCACCATTTGAAAAAAAGTCGTGAATGATTACGGACATTACACACCGAAAGGACCTCATCATCGTCATCAGAGCAGTCTTGTGCCACATGAAAATAACGTTCATTGCCATGGCTTGGATAAATTCACTGACCTCCAATCACCCACCAGCACTCAATCTGAACTGAAGTCCTTGTAAGTGATCCAGGGTCATCTACAGACAATCACCGATGCCAACCAGAGGTAGAAGAATGCTGAGCTAGAAGCAAACAGCAGAGAAAAATTGGGTATTGTTCGACTGCCAAAACTCCCACTTCGTCCAGACGCAATCTGTCTGTTTTATCATGCCGCCGCCGACAGGAAAGAAGCCCTGCCTTCGCCCTGCCCTGCCCTGCCTTGCCCTTCCCAGCGCCAAGCCATGCAATAACAAGAATCGCGTCGAAAGTCACATGTCTTGGTAAAACAGTTCCCCGCCCATCAAAGGTTTCATGAACAAATCGGAAAGGAGCAAGTCCCTCTCCTTTCCTCCGCAGCCACCGTGCCAATCATTATCTCGTCATAAGAGAAGGAAAACACACAAACTTGGGTTGATCGATCGTGTATACATTATAATTCTGGTTCATCATGTGTCGCCCTCGGGCAGTATCCTACCCAGACTGCGCAGGACCTCCATGACGGGCATCTCTTTGGTGCCGACCGTGGCCTTCTCCCGCGTCTCGCGCTCCTTGAGCCGCGCGGCGCTGAGAGAGAGCACCTTATCCGCCTCTCGGCCTGCCGTGTCGACCCGCTGCATGAGCTTGTGGACGCCGTCCGCGAGTTGGTCGACCTTGAACTCCAGCGTGGCCTGTGTGTTTTGAAGACTAGTGAGTGCCTTGGCGCGGATGGAGTCGAACGAGGATGATGGGTTCGTGAGCCAACTGAGCATCTGTGCCTCGCTGGGGTCGAGTACTGATGCGTCTGCCATGGCTGTTTGCGCAGGGTCTGAATCAGGGAATAGTGGCGGGGCTTCTGTGCGGGACTTCTTCAATGCGAGCCACTTCTTCTTTTCCTCCTTCAACCTGTGTGGGATGTCAGGATTTCTGCGCGCAGACAAGTCTCACAGGAATCCCAAACATACCTCTTAACCTTTGCTTCCAATTGTTCAATCTTCTCCTGGTGCTCAATGTTGCGAGGGTTAGGCTTGTACACCACGGGCACCTTTGGCCCCTCCTCTCGGCTAAACCAGTCGGAAAATTCTGACTTGTTCGCAAAATCTTTGAGTAGTTGCTCCTGGATGTATCGGGCTGTAAAGAGTTAGCTTTGTGAGAAAACATTGATTGCTGCCCGACTCACCACCCAGAACCGCATTAGAGCCTGTTTTCCCATGCGGCGGCTTCTCCGATAATGCTCGCTCGCCGCACCAGGTCAGCAACTGCCTCATCCGCCGCGGCTCCATGAGACCCTCTGATTCGATATGTTTATAGAATTCCGCCGTCTCGACCTCCCTGTGTGGGATCGCGTTGTGTCCGCTCTCGATCAGTGAGCTCGCTCTCCGGCCCCGCATGCCTGTGCTGCTCCTTCGATTTCCGCCTCCCTTCTTCCGCATCTCCTTGTTTCGATTGATGACAGGTGTGTCGCTGATAGGGAGTGCAATCTTCGCCGACTCCACCGAATCGTTCAAGACGCGCGGTGTCGACCGCCTGTCAACGTCCATCGGTTCTGAGCCTTCCGCCTCATCGTAAGTTTCCTCCGGAACAGGTGCTGGTCTCGATGCTCGTCTAGGTGCCGGCTTCTCCTCTGGTTTCTCCGCTGGGGCTGTAGAGTTGCGCGTACTGCGGCGCGTCGTCCGCTTAGGCGCGGGCGCGACCAACTGTGGTTCATCCTCATCGAGCACCTCCAAACTGGGTGGTCGTCGCGTTTTCGCCTTCGAAGTCGCAGTCTTCTTCACCGCCGGTTCCTTAGAGGGCGTAGGTGCAGGCGCGGCCGCCGCAGCGCGTTCCTTTGGTGGTCTTCCTCTTCCGGACTTCGTCGGGGGCAATGGTGCGGGCTCCGGCTCTGGTTCTGACTCTGGCTGCGCGTTCTTAACGCGCTTCGATTTCGATCCGCGTGTGAAATGGAAATCGCCATCGGCCTCATCGTAGGTCGCTGCGCGAGTTTTTAGCATCCATGTCCGCCCCGCCGCCCCTGGGGCCTCATTCGGCTCCTCAAACTCACCCACAAGGCGCTTGCTTTTCCTTCTTTCGGGCAATTCGTTGCTCATGCTAATGACTTGTAGCGGTTGACGGGTTCGTGTGACGGTCGTCATGGATGGCGCGTGTCAGGGAGCATATGGTCGGGAGGTTGATTGCCAGCGCTTCGGGTCCTGCAGTCGCGCTGGTTGCGATGCAATAAAATATCGCGTCAATCGCCGTTCAGACGCGATTTACTTGAATGATCAATGATTTGTCGTCGGCGGGCGTTCTGTCAATCGATTTTTGGCGGGGGTTGTGTCGTCGGTGTCGCGTCTGTCGGTGTTGGCGGCGCGAAAGTGACGAGGTGCAGCTTCGTCTGCGATGTTGTTTACATGAGGGACCATTTACCCGTAGCCGCGCTAAGCCGCTTTCGGAAGTCCCACCACTCACCCACTCACCCCCCCCCCCCCCCCCCGAAGGTAAGACCGCCTCACTGACATCACTTGACTCCTAATTCAACTACACATATCCCATTCACGTCGATACCTTACGAAGGGTCGAATGGCCGCCTGATGCATCAGTTCCCATCTATCATTAGGTCGCACATCACATGTAAAACTTCACGTTACAAGAAAGGCAAGGAACTCATTCAGTAAAGTGTTAAATTGACCTCAACGCGTTGCTTCATGCAGCTGTTGTTACCATTGCCACGTCAATACTCGAATCAATGATAAAATAAAATCAACCAGTCCGGCAGATAACGGCGTGTGCCCGTCATCTACCCCTCGACGCCTGCCGCCTTTCAATGAACTTGCCTAACCCGAACTCCTTTTGATGTATATGCCGCGCATCTTGTACCTTTCAATGAAGGAACATATGCGCCGTCGACAAGCCAATGACGCCTGCTAGCCTCCCACCTTCAATCCGAGGGGGGCTGCTCCTTTTCTTTTACAGCCCGTTCCTCAGCGAAACCCCATGATCAAATGGCAGAAGTGAAGTGGTGATGATGGAGCAGGTTTGTCGGAAAAATGATGATACAGTCGAACCGCAAGTCAAGGCTAAGCCGAAGAAATGAAGAAAAGTTTCGCGCATGTAGGGCGAGAAAGCCGGCGACATCCAAGAAGCATCTGGGATGTTGCCCTGGCCTCAACGCATTCACGAGCGCTTCA